AGCGCCAGCGTCTCAATGAAAGTCCCGGATATGTCGCTGAATTCTGGGCGATGTCTTCAATTTCTCGAAAGCCTTGCCTGATAAACGTTTGTCATGCTATGAGACTATTATCTAGAAAGATGTCACTCATCTGAACGCGATCGTGGAACAAAAAAAAAAAGCGCCACCGAGAAATTTAAGCGTTCGACCTTCCAATTTTGCTTTCGGATGCTTTACAAACTGTGAGCAAAGCCTTACTGTCTTTCACTTTACCCCCCAGGTACAAAACTCTGAGAAAAATGGCGCTCTTGGTGTCCTGGTGTTTCCTGAACCGAACCAGGCTTTGCTAGACATGAACTGTAACGGCTCAGAATGTAACACACAGCTCAACATCCCAGCATCCATGATTCCACATAGCATTGGGTTTAATTTGAGCAAGGGCAGTGGTATTTATGTCCGTTTCCAGACAACGCCCTCAGACACATTTGTATTTGGAATTGACGGGGAGGGCAAAGTGGAGGAAACCGGTTGGTTTTTGTATCCGTCCACGCTCTTCATGGCCTATCAGGCCCAGTGGTGAGTTTACTTTAAACTCAGTTTCTGGAGTACTGTACTTTTGTTGTTTGAGTTGTTAGTCGATGGAAGCATTTACAGAATACAGGGCCATTAAGGTCGGCACTTTGTCGGCATGCTGTGAAGAACGAGGCAGAACACAAAAGGATCAGTATTATGAATCGGTGAGGGGTAAATAAGTGGCCCAACATTCTGTAGTTTTACTGGTCGCTGTATCTCTTTGTATCACTTCCACCAAGGACATCGGATCACGTAATACGTATATGTAGTGACGACAGAACGCTGTTTACATCTGTACATTTGAAGAGATTGGAGGGTTTATAGTTATCCTCATACATCAGTGTCTCCGCCTCAATCCCGGTTGGCCACGAGTTGATTCTCGCTGGCATTGCTTTCGTTTTGTAATAGATACCTGCAACAATGTTTGTCTCATTCCCCCTAGCCTCAGAGCCATGTTAGAATTTCAATATATCGAAAATGGCCTATGACAACACTGTTTTCCATTGGGACAAATAACATGTTGGTTGTTGTTGTTATTGTTTTTTTTTTAGTGCAGTTCCGTTTACGTTATCATTCTCTCCAACAGTAGTGGGAGCTGACCTCCCACCTCGGTCGAGAGCGGAGACATTGTATTGAAGTTCAGTTTTTAGTAGACCAGTGTTTTAGAGAAAAAACCCTAACATGTCATTACCTTTGTTAACACAGGTTTAATTATAAAACGCAGTTGTTGAAGAACTTGACAACGGGAGATGCGATGGTAATCAACGTGTTCAACCACAGTGTGATGCAGGGAGAGAAAGGGGTCAGCGGTACTGTTCATCTGCCTTCTTTGAATGGTAAGATACAGGTATTACGATGCATTCGATTCCCTTCATTGTCCAGACAAAGGTGATACTTCCCTGAATGCCGGTAAGACGATGTGGAAAACCAATCTGCGCATAGGAAATAGCGAAATATCTCTGAAATTTCGTGAAAAATTTGATTGTGTTTAAGGACGAGATTTTAGCACAAACACTGTGATCCTAAAATTTGTTGAAATAAGGTATTCACGTGTTTCTCTTTGTTCTGTGTTCTTACTGTCTAGTAAGCTTTGAATTTGTCAGAAATTATTGTGGCAACAAATTGCCAATAACCATTATTTGCCACGCTAAGATCAAGCCCAAAACAACTTTTCTTCAGTAGTTTGGTTTGAGATCTAAATTGTTTGATATCTCTATTTAAGTTCATTGTGAATGCGGTTTGGTTTTGTGGCAATCACAGCTGACGTTTTCACTTCTCTTTCTAAGACCTCCAGAGGTACGAACACGTGGAATTGGACTTTGCTTTATCGTGCCCAGGCTCCAGAGACGAAACTTGCGCCAGATGGGATCACGTAATACAGCTGTACGTTTGCTGTAACTCTACAAGTGAGCTATGTGGCCTGGAACTAGGCAGATGGATAACACCCTTTAGACGGTAGGAGTAGAAACCAGAGACAAGCACATTTGTTAATTTTTTTGTTGATGTCATGATAGATGACGTCTCGAAGGATGCCAGGAAAATGCTTGTTATCAAGTCAATCAGCACACTTTTGAAATAGCCGAGAAGATGGTAAAAACATTACAACTTTGATGATCATTGTCTGTTTGTTTCCACACAGACGTATTGGACGCTGGTTAACGCCAGTGAAGCCGCTGATTCCTCTGCTACAATCCGCGGACTCCGGCTCAACCAACACTTGTAACTTTACAATGAAAACAGTTCCCTGGGCAATGGCGTGGGTTCCAACACTCAACATCAGACTTGTTGGCAAAATACAAGGTATTACTCTGACTCAGCTCTACACAATGAAAAATTTCTTCTCATCAGTTTCACGGGGTGCTTATTAACTATAATAATACCTTTTTGTATCCTCTTTAATGTTCAACTGAAGAAGATAACTGAACTCTGGTTTTTCTGTACGTTACTGCTTGACATTTTTACTCACACGTTCATTTTTATTCACAGTATTAAACAAGTATGAGACATTTCGCTCGAGAGAGAAGACTCTTGTTCCAGTAGAGGTTATACCACTCTTCAGGGGAGGAACATTTGACAAGAACTACAACACCAAATACAGACCCTTTACTTTTGCTCCTCCACAAGGAACTGACAAAGTAAAGCTTGTCGCAACCATAACAGGCCATGGCAGTGATAATAACAACTGCGCCGAGTTCTGCGTCACATCGCATCATTTTGTTGTCAACAACAAACATAACTATACCCGTGTGTTCAAAAACGCCGGCACCGCCCTAGGGTGTGCTGACCGCGTGCCAGAGGGAGTGGTACCAAATGAGCATGGCACGTGGCTGTATGGGCGGGACGGTTGGTGTGATGGCCAGGAGGTAGTGCCCTGGGTCGTGGATATAACAAGTGCACTTACAACTCCTGAAAATCAGATCAAGTACTTTGGTTGGTTTAACAATACTGATCCCAATCCAACACGTGACCCTGGTGATATCATCATGTACTCTTATTTAGTGTACTACAAGTACTTAGCCCCGGAGCCGGACCTCCCTCGGCCAACCACACGAGTAGGAAGTGGACACGACATAAACAAATAGTTTGACCTTTGAATGACATTCGAGCCGCATACTCTGATACATGTTACGGCTGGTAATATTTTCACTCGTAACAAAATGCGAAATAAAAATTTCAAAAGAAGGCGGGGACCGGCAGCCCCTCAGCTCCGAAGATTGTTCTATTCTGATCCATTTTCCCGGCAATTTGGCTATTAATATACATGGCTGTAGAGGACGAATAGCCTTGCAGCGAAGCGACAAGGGCCGAGAGAAGTGTTTGCATAGCCTTCTGAAAAATTCTTTGTTCTCATTGGCTAAATCGAGCGTATTCAAGGCCCCTAGTACGGAATATTTGCGTGTAGATGACTTCTCTCCTCCTTTATGGCAATATAAGGGTCGTCCACGACGACGACGGTAACGAGGACCTTGTAAAACAAAATATCTAATGATCAAAACAATAGCTTAGCATGTGCATTTCAATCCTCTGCAAAACAACTACGTGAAATCACCAAAATTTGCGTAGCCTGAGAGCGGAAACCCGAGGGTAAATCATTAGTCTCCATTTTGAACTCAACGCCGCTCACATTTGTTATGCTGAATTAAAGGTGTAGCGCTGTAAGAGACGGTAAACACGTCCAACCATTTGCAAAATTCTGACTTAAAATTTAACATTTTTTTTTTCTTTTGATGTCTACCTCAGCGTTGCCGTCCTGGCTGCTTAATATCCCCAATGTTTTTGTCCCACGTTTGGTAAATAAGAACCATAATGAACTCAAAATGTGCCATATTCCTATGTCTATTTCACTAATTTCGTCCACAATTTTTGTACCTTGGTGAACATTGAAGAAAGCAGTGTTTCCTTGCCAGCTTTACTGTTAATTATAATGGTTGCAAAATCTGTTTCGGTTTGAAATAAGTGATTTCACAAAATACAGACCGAATTAGACCACACTAAGTCTTGTCACCAGTTATTTTTGACCGATGAATATTCTGAGTGGAACAGACATATGTATTAAAAGAACAGCTCGTAATTCCAATTTCTCTAATCCAGTTAAGGCATTTTCTGACGCTGAGAATTCCTCCATTTCGGAAAAATCTACAATTTATCATGGTAAGTTGTTGTTGCTTTCGTTACTGTAATGAATGCATGATTGGTGACTTTGCATTCGAGTTTGCATAAATGATTGGCTATGCAACTGTTAAGATACAGCAAACTGTCTATCTAAACTTCCGATGAGACTCTTCGTTATAGAATAATAAGTGAAAAATAAAGCAATTCATCATCTGCATGTTAAAGAAAACAATAACGGCTATATTAAAAGAGTAATGATTATAACTAGTACTTAAGTTGTATTTCTAGTGAACTATGGCAAAGGCAAACTCCTAAACTCAGACCAATTGCACGTTAAATACTATCGTAGACCTCAAGTGACCGCTCCATCCTTTTTGTGATAATAGTTTATTGGATTTTTCTAAAGACTTCCTTGCAAAAATGGAAAAAACTCTTGCGCATGATTTTACACTTTGAAAGAGGACTCTTCAAAGAAAGGTCTTCAGCTCCACCGTACATTTAGTAGGGTATGTTGCCAGTTAGATATTTGTGCTAGTAAACTACACTGTGTGTTTCACGAAAAGTGTTTTTTTAACTTTACTGATTTACTCTCCATCATCCTCAGGAATAACGTCACTTTCTTGTTTTAAAGGATCATCTCTGTTGATTCTGGCCAGCTCGCTCTGCGCTACATTACTCAAAACCGCAGGTGAGGATTGAAATCTCGCGCGGCGTGCGATCTTTTCATTACAGTCTGGCCTTTCAATCTTTGGCAAAGCTAAACTCTTCCGGTGCTTCAATGGAGGAGGAAATTCCTTACTCCTTTCCTGTCTGTATGGCAAAGGCCATACGACAAGTCCTTGGTCAGTGCTTTCTAACGGCGGCAAACGTTTTAATTCAAGGAAACTCATGGGTGACCTTGAAGCTGCATCTTCAGAGTGTCGTCGTTGATACAACTTGTAATCTCGCTTTGTTGCGTTTGCAAGCATGTCTCCTTTATCAGCGACATGTGTTTGAACTGCAGTTTTAACACTTAGCCTTGTTTCCGTTATGTTTTTACCGGGATCGATGGCTTTAAGTTCTCGTCGCAGCGAGACAAGATTTCGCTGAATATTTTTCATTTCTCGTTGCTCTTCTTTCGCCAAGTTTCCCAGCCGGCGTCCGAGCCGTTCTTTCTCTCGTTCGTTCTTTAGTTTGGCCTCGACAACATTTTTTATTATTTTACGGCGCAAAGCTTGTGCTTTTTCGTCGTTCTCCTCATCTTCAGCGACAATCATGGCTTCAAATTTTTTACGATGCAATAAATTTAAAACTACTGAGTCGGCAAGCAATACTTGGTGCCGTGACCGCACATCACTTCAGTTTGCATTGCTTCATTCTTAAAACGTAACAACAGAAACTTCTAAAAGCGTAAATCATTCATCATGTTTTTGAGAGTAAATTAATAATTGATTTGTTGCCCCTGGCGAAGTTTTGTTTAATCAACAATGTTTCAGAAACACAATTATCAGCGGGTTGTTATCGACAAAACACTTTTGAAAGCATTTTCACAAGGACCTCATCTAAATGAGAAAGCAATCGGTACATGCCCGTTTTCCTTACTGTCATACAACAACGTTGCCAGTCGGATACAGTTTGATAGAAAGTTCTTAAACAGGAGCGAATTTCACAGCAAATACGATCGGCAGGTGTTTCGCAGTTTTCACAATACAATCTGTTTAGCCAATGAGACTTTTTCACACGTTCAAAGGCTGTTTTTGTTTTAATTAAATAGACCATCTTCAGCTACCGGGCCGAGAACTTAGGCGAAGCTAATTGGATCTAATTGCTAAACGTCCCGCGAAAAAAAAGAAAACCAAAATCGTATAAAAATTTACCTTCATGTTTTGACTCGTCTCGTTCGAGTTCTATTTTTTTTATCTGAACTGCAAAAGAACGATATTTTATTCAGATAAAAAATAGCATACCTTGATGTTAATTACGACCTTCTTCGTTTCAAATTTGGATGCCTTTCTTTTAAGGAGGCTTTTAAGTAAGAGAGTCTCAATGGATGATTACTCTTACGGTTAACGGTGAAAATTTTGGCCCTCTTACAGCCAACGGTTATTCATTTCCGTTAATTTTTGAAGAGGAATTATAACGGTTAATTTTTTTTAACTAATAACAGTTAAATTGTCAAGTTTTTACGCCCAACGACTAGAATTTTGAGCCGTTTTACGGCTGACGATTAAACCTATTGAGACCCTCCGGTAAGCCTCGATTTACGTAGCACGTACAGACTCAGTTTTCATGGCCCACATCCAATAGGGAAGGGGGACTAGGAATGACTTACAGGCTCCCCATCCATGACTTCCAAATGGGGTGGGGTATATTTAATAGCGGTTATGTTAGAAGGCATATCAAAACCTGGCTGAGATCCAGAATATGATTCGTTATGTGTTCACTGCATAGTAGCTAATATAAAATGAACACCGCACACAGTACGAGTTTCCTTAAATGAAGATCTACAATGTTTAAACAGGAAACTACTTGATATAGGCTTCCAATTATGGTTAAAATTTGTACTGAAACTCTATCTGGCTCATATGAATAGCAACGCCTTTAGAACTCTGAGAGTAAGGGGGGGGGGAGGGGTTTTAGCAAGGAGGGAAAGAGGGAGAGAACGTTTACAGTTGATATCAGGGACGAATCATCTCTTTAAATTTTTCTGTTCAACGCTGTTCTGCTATTCTGAACAAATCACTTCTGAAGGTATTGCAAAGTATGTAAACACGTGCGCTTCGCAGTTCGTAAGATTTGACCTCATTTTGTTTCATGTTCGTCATTTAAAATCTACGGCAATATTGTGCATTATAAACCCTCCTTACGCTCTTTTGTGTTAGCCTTGTCTCTTTAGTGATTCTCTACCTTTCGCTTATTTTCAATGCAACTAAAATCATCAAAATGACCCTAAAGTTTACGACGCAGATCCTCCGTTTTGAAACGAAAAATTGAGAAATCAAGGGCACGATGATTTGGAGAATGCAAATTATTTTACGTGTAATTGGACTAAGGAGATAAATTACCCGTTAGATGTTTCGTTAGTGGGCATTGAGACGTGGGGAAGGGGGGGAGGAGGAAAGGGACTCGAAAGCGAAAACACAGCTTAGGGGAGAGCTCTTGCGTTCTACACTATTATTCGCGCGCTTGCTTTATAATATGAAAAAAAAGGAGAGGGAGAGACAGAGTGGGTGTGTGTCAACCAATCTTTTTGTTCTCATCAGCACTCTCTGTAGAACGCATTCCTGAGGTAAAAAGGACTAGATTTTCAACAAATACAATGTATTGATTTTATCTGCTTCTTACGTTGAGTTATTTTCAGCAAGACTGATTTCAACTGTATCGTGTTGTTAAAAACAGACATCAGTGGATGACCATTATTATGAACTACCCGGCGACTCCAATACAGTTTGGGTCGAACCCAAATCAGAATCTTTCGTTTCAGTCCTCCCTTGTAGATGCATCATCTCATGTTAACAAAACACCCACCCAGACCCAGTCCTAATGATTACATCTACAAACAATAACTCCGGCGAAAATCACAGCTACTCGGTTGATAAAATTTACGATCGTTACACAATGTGTACATCTACAGATTATTATCACACAATAATGACTATATTCAGTAAAACTTTGATCTTAGATCAGCTATTTCGCCTTCCATCGCTTAAAGGCTCTGTAACATGTTCTGCACTTTGTTTCATGGGAAGAACCAGCAAAACAAAATCTCAAATCTTGCACTCAGCCCGTTGTGAACGGTAAATAATATGTTTTAGACTGTACCCTCAGCTGTGCTAACTGTTATATGATAAATGCACTGTGGGCAAAGAAAAGTCTTCAAACGATGTGTGCGGGAGATATGTTCAACTACATGGCACAAAAACCTGGTCCTTTGTGCAAGATGTTCGTTGCACAAACTGTAGAGTTGGCAAAACCATGGAAAAACTGATTCCTTAAGGCGAACCAAATGAACGTAAAAAATTATTGAGATTTGCCAACATAATCTGAAATCAAAGTTATTTTTTTCAAGAAGTTACCGACCAAAATGTGCGAATACCAATTTTCCATTAGCTTCTCTGAAAGACCAATCGAGCAAACGAACAAACTATTTATTTACAATAATTTCAAATCATCAAAAAATAGTTTAAAGTGCATATAATATCCCATTCACACCAAAGCTTAGACATGTTTTAGAGCTCTTTGTTAAACACGGATCAAAATTGTATTCTACGAAGAAGCTGTTTAGACCGATGTTTGTCGACTTCAAATTTAGCACATTGAAAATACAATTAAGTGACTACTTGAAACCTATGGAAAACTCAGTTTTTCAGTTCTCTGTTTTTCATTCGGTTAAACTCGGTTTAAGTAAACAAGTTTTGCTGATGTAAATGGGATGTAAGTTTGTTGGTACAGTTTCCGCCATCCTAATCTATTCATATACACAGAAAGTTTCGGAAGTGAGGTTAGTTTGGAGACATAAGTCGTAAAAAAAAAACAGCCAAATTTCACGCTAAATTTGAGAAATACATGGATTATCTAGTTTCACATGTCATAACTAGTAAGTAAATCTGAGCAAATAAATCTATGGTTTGGGAAACATCGTAAAAGTTAAAGAAAGATATTATTCTTGTCACGAGTGTGGTACGAAGAAAAAAAATCTGAGTTTGCAATGAGAAATCAAACCCATGACCTTTTGGTTCCGCGCTCCGATGTTCTACCTCTGAGCCAAACTGGAAAACTCAATGGTAAGCCAGGTGATTACAAAGTTCATGCGAAAGCGTCATTTTTCCCTTTTCCACACATGTTCCACGACTTAACTCAAAAATTTACAGTAAAAAACTACAGCACTGACATCTGTTGGTTGATTGATCTCAGTTTTATAAAGGAGCAGTTTTACAATTGATGTCGAAAAACCAAAACTGAAGTTATTCCAGCGACTATCGATTACATCATCACAAGCCAATGAAAATGCAAAGTGAAAGCAAGTAAACTGCTTGAAGCGTAGTTTGTAGTTTTGGATCTGATTGGTTGAGAGGACCGCGCAAGTTTTCTTGGCCAATCACAGAGCAAAGTTAAGTAAAACCAAAAAATCCAGGATTCCTTTCGACACCCAATTGAAAACTGCTCCAATTGGGCATTTGTGAGATACCATGAGATACCATGAGAAAACTGCCATGGGGAAGAAAAATAACAGCTGCTAAAGAGTAAAAATTCATTCGGTCAACTTAACATCACAATGAAAAAAAATCAATTAATTAATCAAATTAATTCACAGCACATCGACCCCATTAGTTGCACCATTGTGTATTACCGCTGTACAGCATGCACGAAGTTGTAATTGTACAGCACCGGCAAGGACTTCTCTCATGTTGCTGGTGCTCAAGCCCCAAGAAGGGTTCTCGGTAAGTTCGAGGAGGTGGATTGGGGAAGACAAGCAGTGGTGATGGCGACATGACAGGCTCCGGGTGGTTGCCATTTGCCATCTTGAGTTCTTTGCGCCATTTAAACCGTCTGTTCTTGAACCAGGTCTGAAGGGATCCGGGAAAAAATAAAAATTGAGTGAAAAGAAGATATTATCCAGCGATTTGAAAGAGCTGACGAAGGTTACTTAGAGGTAGTAGGTATGATCTTCAACCTGAGTTAGGCCACAGAAAATAGATGTTTTTAAAAGTCACCTTGCCTTACATTCTCATCAACTAACTCAGATTTTACCTGAGGCAAATTGAAGAATGTATGGGAGTCTATTTACCTGTACAGTAACGGGAGAAAGTCCAAGTTTGAAAGCCAAGTTATCACGCTCTACACCCGTCAAATACAAAGATGAAAGGAAAGAATTCTCAAGGGCAACTTTCTGATAGATTGAGAATCGTGTCCGTTCAATCTTTCGCTTGTGAGCATTGGCAGTAGGCACAGGGTCATCAGAACTCTTTTGGAAGTCTCCTGAAATAAGATAACATTAAGCGACTGTTAGCTTTAATTCTCCAGATTTAAATGATTTAACCGGCTCTATCGGCTTCTGAGTTACGAGATGTTTATCTTCCTAATCGAAGGAGAAAGAGACGAACCATTGTGTTTCATTTCAACCCCTAATTTTTATCAACGCATGTTTGTCTTGTTTCCTTCTGATTGATCATTCAAAGACACCAACCTATTTCTTGTTAAATAAAAAGGACTTTGCGTTGAAGGAATCTAGTCGATTATTTGATATAAACCATCCACCTGGCGGTAGTGAGACAGAGGTAGCCGTCTTCTGTCTCGTATCCTTCTTATTTACCATTGAAAAACAAGCAATTGCATGTTTTTCAAAGAGTAATTTTGCGTCCACAAAATTGAGAAACCTATTCGGCAATAACGAGATAATGGTGGCCGTATTTTTTTTCCTCACAACACATAGGGAAACAGAGCAAGCGAGTAAGCCTTAAGCAAAGCTCTTATTATGGAGTAACTCCCTTTCAACTCGTTGGGCGGCTTTCTTGTTTCATATGAATAAGTTTTTTGAGCTGATCTTCCTTGCATGCGAAAAACATCCCAGCCGTGAAAATTAAAGTCAATATACCTCTAAGTTTAAGGCCACTGTTAAAAAAATGATCTAAGCCAGTCAAACTTATCCTAACGAACGTTTTGTATCAAGATATCGCCTTGTTTTTTTCCTTTGCTGAGGAAAATCGCGGTCTAACCAATTTATTGTGTAATCAAAGAGCATCACGACTAGTCAAAATCTTCACCTCACGTACCTTCTAGTGGAAATGTACTCGACGCACTTTCAGACATCGGTTTTTTATCACAGGAAGAAAGCGATTTTTGGGCGAAGAAACGGTGCATGTCAAACTGTTTAGTCTCCATGGCTCTTGTGTTCTGGCCTTACCAACACCTCCGCCAAATCTGATGATGGTTGTGTTCGCTCTAATATAAACTAGAAAGGGATATCGTCTCCCATTCGCTGAGCGGGTCACTGACGTCACAAATTTGAGAATGTTTATATTTTCAGGTTCAGTCTTCTGCTAATTACGTTATAAATTAACCGACCAATCACGTGCTATCGCTTTATTGAACGTGTTCTCTAAACTCCCAAAGGAATAATGTTGAACGTAACAAGAAAGGAAGAATGACGAAGGGTGAACGCACGAAACTTCAGCTTTAAAACTCAATTTACGTTATCAACTCAGTTCATTATACTTAATTACCCTATTTTACTACCCCAACGACGCAGCACCACAGTTTCTTTAGAAATTTACCCCCTCTAACACGAAAGAGAGCCGACACTTGAATGCCCTGTTTTCAACATCGATGCTCTCTGGTTATTCGTCACTTTCGAAAATATAAATCCTCTGGGAAGTAGGATGGGAATGTGATTAGATGGATAATCTCCCCCTTAAAAATAAACTGTAGTTATCAACCCTTCGGGATTTTCATTTTCAATCGATATGTTGCTGTTAATCGAAGTGCCACCTGCAAACTCGTGAATTTCCTGTGCATGTTATGATAGGAATATAACAAAAAATGTATTAGAACTCGACGATTTTGTGATTCCGAGGAAAAGAATTGAGCCGTCATCCCCACAAGAGCCCTTTCCTTTATTATTCCGCCATCTTTATTTTGATGCATGCTCTCCCCAAATTCCCGTGCGAAGGCCTTGACGAAGTCCAATATTTCTTATGCATAAGCTTAGCAAATCCACGACTAAAGACGAAACACGTTTGTGCGCAATTTAAGAACTTTCTTCATCACAAATACGTTGCTGCAAAGAAGCGTATATCTGTAGCCGTAAAGACAACTTTGTGTGATCCACGGTATTGACTTACGCAAGGAACAAAAGTGGACTTTAATGTGACCTAATGTGTTTCCAGCGTCATAAGTTAGCGACCTTCTGCTTTCTTTTCTTCTCTGATCGATAGACTCTATTTTCAAACAATTGTAACCTCAAGATCATTTCCAATATATTAACTACTTACAAAACGAACTGCGGCTCGAGCGAGCGAGGTCAGTAAGTTGTTTATCACACGGCACTCGTACAAAACTTGTTCAGTTTGAATTTGCCAGCTTTCTGACCTTCTCCGTGAAAACCGTCCGTATGGCAGGATACGGACCAAGTGGGAACCAATCAGAACGCTCGGATTTACCTCAGGACTACCCTGCCATTTAATATTACTGTACTCTTCCGCCTATAAATTCCATGAAACTGTGTAACTTTTTTGCCCCAATGTTACTGATTCTCGGATTAGAAGATTTTGCCATGTATAATTACACATGATACAAAATGTTTTTTTCTTAATTTTGTAGCTTAACCAAACTCTAAAACTGTGAATGAATTTTTTTTCAGTAAGGAAAAGATTACAACTTTGAAGGTGGAATACTATCATCTTTCCAAGTGAATTCTGGCAGAGAGCACTCATCTGCAACAAAAACAACAAAAAGTATGTGGGTAATTCCTCCAATAACCCTCCCCCCCCCCCCCCCCCCCCATCCCGAAGATAAATTGGGAAAAAGAAAGGGGTGTGGCTATTGCATTAAATTGAGGGTGGAGGTTTAATGTTACTAAATTTTGCCTAATACATTACATCTTTCTTTTGACAGCAGCACCACAAGAATATCTGCGAAGGAACATTTTTTTGCATTGTTCTACTGACAATCATAATGATTGATTTAGGACTTGTAACAGGAGCTAAAAGATTGAAAAAATTCCATAACCATGTGGAAATCTCTTAACAAGTTTAAAGGTCTGTAAATTTGAACAGCTGCATCAACTATAATCAACAGTTGTTGTTTCAATATTTGCCCAGTATTTTTAAACAGACAAACAAATAAACAAAACAAGAAAAAGCAGAAAGACAAAGGACTGGACAGGAGGAGTGTATCAATACTTGGGGGGGGGGGGGGGGGGAAGAAACTTGTTTTTTCTAAGGCAGATCTGTCAGTATGACCCATAAATAATGTACCACAGCACAGTACAGCACGGTACTACTACTACCTACTACTACTACCTTGAATAGGTGCCTGGGTGCTTATTTAAAATTTTGGCTAAAAGGGAGAGTGCTTAATTAATATTATCCAGCAATGATTCCTCCATATAAAAAGTTTGAAAAGTTATAAATAAAGTGGTAATAGAAACAGGTTTCCTTGTATCCCTACTAATTAAGAAAGTGAGAAGGGGGTCACTTGTTTGAGGGGAGTGCTCATATGACATTATGGTCTAGGCCCAGGGTGTAGTCACTTATTAGGAGGAAGGCTCTTATGTGAGAGTGGATGCTTATTCAAGGAAATAGGGCTCATGAAACCATTCCATTGAGCAATTGCCTCACCTGCTGTTGGTATGTTACTAACAAACACTTTACTTGATGCACCATCCACATCAATTGTAGTTCCTGTTACGTAAGCTGCTGCTGGGGAGAGGAGAAAGCTGACAGCTCCAGCTACCTAAATAACAACAGAGAGTTCATATGCATGATGTAGCCATGTACAGTAAGACTTTAACCATGTTTTATTTAGCAAAGATACATAGCATCTCAAGCTACACTCTGAGCCCTTATCACTAAGATTGAAATAAATCAGATAATCTTTCTAATTATATCCACATGATGCTTTTGACATTGCTTGTCCTAAATGTATGCAGGAGTGGGGTCACATATCAACCTAGTAATGGCCTTTAGCTCACTATGTAGTCTCTGTGGATTGTGGGAGAGCATTGCAATTTGGAATCCAGAAGTCTAAGGCTCGATTCTGGACTCAAAATTTTTTATTTGTCCCATGCTTGTGACAAAATAAAGTTGAACCTGTACTGAGTGGCATTATATTAAGTGGTCACCCTGTATTAAGCAATTGGTTGTCAAAGTTCCAAATTTTTTTCCCCTCTATTCAGCAGTCACCTCTATGAGTAACTCTGTGCGAGTTCTTTTTCAGAGGGATAACTGCCCAAAACCAATTAGAAGGGAAAAAAGGGTACCATTGCTCTTACTTCTGCTGTGGTTCCACATCTTTTGGCTGGTAACATATTGGCCATCCTTTGAAACAGCTCAGGGTCAGGGTAGTTCTGTGCAGCAGTGTCAGAGTACACCACACCCTAGAGAAATAAAATGCTAATTCATGCTGTGAATACATGTACCTCTTGCCAGTAAAGTGTATCTCTTGTGCATCCTTTTGTTCACCATACCAACAGTAAACACAATTAGCAGGAAAAAACACCAGGATATAGCATAATTTTGGAGAGTGGATAGGTCATTCTTAGCAGGATCAGCACTCTTTCATGAACATTTGTATCCTAAGTCTTACTCCCCATTACCACTATTTTGTCAGATTGACAGAGATCAAACTGAACGTAACACATTTACCCTTTGATGAACAGTCCAAAAATAATACAGAATTGTCACTATGATAAGCTGCAACCCTGCTGATTGCAAAGGGAAAGCTAAGTGCTCTTTATTTTTGATATTGTTTTCAAAGTGACATGAGCTTGACTGCATGTATAAAAATGTTTGTTCTGTAGGTAAGGCAGATCAATACTAACATACTGGTGCCACACAGTTGATCCTAACTCCAAAACGTATCCATTCAACAGCTAGGCTCATGGTCAAGTTGTGAACTCCTGCTCGAGCTGCACCACTATGTCTAAATTAAATATAGTAATGACAATACAGAAAAGCAAGTCAGTAGACTGACCTCTCTTCTTTGACACGAAAAGTTGCTTTTTTTTAAGTGCTTTGTTTTTGTAAATCAATTCTTATCAATTCTCGATTGTAAAAAGTGCAACTTATGTGTAAATTTGCTGAAATACAGCTATTTAAAATTACTAAAGAGACATTATTTTAACCTCAGCAGAGTCAAAATTTTACACTTACAGACAAGCACTGTTCATACAGGAAGAAAACAAAAAAATCACAACTTACGCCAATCCTGGGAAACCCTTGCTCATGTCCACAATGATGTTTACAATTGAACCACCATTTTTGCACATCCACAATCTGAATGCTAAACACAGACACATTCTCAGTTATTTCATAACTAGTTATAGTTCTCACTAGAGCTGCCCCCGCCCTACAGTACCATTTTTTTTTTTTTTTTTTTTTTGAGTTGGGCTTGTTGTTTACAGTTGTGTAGTTATGACCATTTGCGGGAAAAACGTTGATACCTTGCGGCCATGCAAGCGATCAAATCGAGATTTTTTTTGGTTACGATCAACCGAAAACACCTACATTCTCTCTTCTCCAGTCTTCCTCTATACTAGGACAAATCTCGTGTCAAAGATGCCGATCCTAAAAGTCCTTGCGCGCGTGTCTTTTTACTGGCAGCCCATGACCATTTGCAGGAAAAACGTTGATACCTTGCGGCCGTGCAAGCGATCAAATCGAAATTTTTTCTGGTTATGATCTACCGAAAATACCCACATTCCCTCTTCTCCAGTCTTCCTCTATATTACGCGGGGAGTCCTAAGGTGCCTCCTCGGGTTTTTGGCCCTCTGGGGCCAAAAACCCTGCAGGGGCAACAACTACACAGTTAACATAGAGCACTTGTTGCAAATTTGACTCATACTGAGGAAAGGCAAAGTCCTATACAAGAAAAGGTGCAATTATTTCTAGATGAATTGTGATCCTTTCCTAACATTTAAGGTTATCATAGTAATACCATAGCCTCCTATAACATCCCTACTTTCAGCTCTACCTATCTCTGTTTCAATAATAATTGTTCTATGCTAAAGGAATTTCTTATTAGGCTTTTCGATGGTTAGGCTTCAAACTTATTTTTATAGAACTCTCTGTGGCTTACTGCAAAATGGTTTCCCTCAGAAAACTATACCAATGGTTCATTGAAGACAGTGTTTACCTTCTTTACAGCACAGAAATGTCCCATTCAAGTTTGTGTCAACCACAGCTTTCCAACCCTTCAAAGACATGTTTGCCACAGGTGACATAAACTGACCACCCCCATTGTTGACAAGGAAGTCGATTTTACCATAGGAAGAGAGGGTTTCCTCCATCAAGTTTGTTACCTAAAATATTACAGTTTACATTTGTTTTGAATATTGTCAAAGACAGTATACACTAGCATGTAAACCACAATCAAGGATAAGTCAAACCCTGAGTTTTTAAACTCACATTTTGGAAAAAGAACACTAAAGAAATAGCAAAATGAGTCTTGAGAAAGTTGCCTCACATTGGTTGCTTAATCAAACTTACACCCACGTAACCTCAGTTACAAATAAAACAGAGAATAATTGGAATCGATTTCTGATAATTTTGGCTGTAATTGTATGGATGTCAAATCAACTGTTTAAGACTTATGTTTGATTTTACTCTCACTGGTATTGTTCAACCAATATCATATTTTCTAATACAAAATGACAAAAATCATTTTAACTTTCACTGAAGTGTTGTAGGACAGTTCCACAGAAAGATTTCATGTAACATGGATCCAAATTTTAACAGATGCAAAGACTGTGTCAGATTAGATGAAAAGGATGTGTGCCACTTGAACTATCAACGTACTAATTAGGGTATGAAGAGCGTAAAGAGAAAAGCCTGCTAAAGTCAGTCCAGTGGCTCACACTGGTCTGAAGTGTACTGACATCTAAATTATTCTCATTGGAGAAAAAAAATAGAGTTGGGTAGAAAGGATTATGAACTTTTTATAACAAATTTTGAACGAAATGATCTTTGGAGCTAGACATGTGCAGCAAACATCAATTGAGAAAACGCCTTCCTTGGCCTCTCCAGATAGAACAGGTGGGGAGGCTGTGATAACACCAATTCTTGCATTGGAACCTCACGGCAGAATGTACAGCGCTGTATATGCAGAGAAAGGCATATCCTCCCCGAAAATCCCAGAAACAATATTATCTTAGTAATATTTCAATAACTCGGCCGTTGGAAACAAAGAACTGGTAGTTACCTGTTTTTCGTCTCTAATATTGCAAGGAACTACTTTCACCTCTCCAGTACTCGACGGTTGTACATAGCGACACAATTCCTCAGCCGTTCTTTTCAGTCTTTCCTCATTTCTAGAGGCAATAACAACCTTACTGCCAAGGTAGAGTAATTCTCTCGCAATTGCCTTTCCAATACCCGTACCACCGCCAGTGACAATTGTTACTTTGCCCTCAAATAACCCTGGCCGGAAGACAGACATCATGCTCCACCTATGGGTTGCGAACTGCGTGTTTCGCGCGAGTCGTGGCGAAGGTAAAGGTTGCGCATGATCAAAGTATTTCCAAAAAGTTGCTGTAATACTGCGGGCACTAATTTTAATAGAGCCTCCAGCTCTTACTGGCCAGCGGAATTTATTTTCAAGAAAGACGTGTTCTTTAAAATTTTTTGAAAATGCAGGTATGTAAACTCGTGTTTTTCTGTAGAATGTGTCAAATTTGCTTAAGAATGATCTCTTGTTATATGTTCCCCATGCAAGAAACAAGATGACTCAACAGGGAATACGAGAGAGGCGGAACTGCTCCCAATCGACATCTATTACAACAAACTTTTGGGTAAGGATTTAGAGCCGATAACAAACCGAAATTATGTTATGCTATGGCTATAAATAAACTCTTGGAAATAATCATGAAAAATGGGCCTTCAAATTTAAGTCAATAAAGGAAATTTAGAATTTGACTACACATCATGAGGAGTAGAATGAGTTGAGATTGCCGAGGTTGGCATGGAAATCCCCAACGTAAATGGTGGACGGATTAATTGAAACGTCAACCATTGATTCTTCAAGGAGTTTGATTTATTATATAGCTTTCGAAAGGTTTAGTTTATGTCTTTGTGTTCATCTTGATTCAAATTTAATCACTCTTTTTCTGGATTAGAGACGAAACAGCAAGGATAAACAACAACAACATCAACACTACCTTGTACTTTTAAATTAATAACTGTAGATCCCAAGCTGGTGGCTCTTCCAAATTCAGATTTGTCCTTTCAAGAGAACAATTGTATCCTCTATACATATGAATCAAAGCTTCTTGTTTGAAAATTTTTATTTACCTCTGATTGCACTTCTATCTTGTTGAAAAAAAAATACAGACTGGCTTTTGGATAGAAGACACTGTGATGTGAAATGGCAGACAGGTGTTTTGGAGGTTAGAGAGAAAATTAATGCAGCCATTCAGGATATGCCGCCTGTGGATGAAATCACACAGCTTCTTTCTGGAACATGTGAGTCATTCTTAGACATGTTTTAGACATTTCATTAATCCCTAATGGTGATAAGCTTCTAATTTCTCCAAACAGTATCACCCCTGAATCAAACATTAAGGTCATGAGAGTAAAGAAAATGATCATGATCACAAATTCTCTTTAAAAGTACCATAGGAAAAGTATAGAGAATAGTATGGAGAACTTGCATACTGATGTTAGGGTGTGAAGGGTCACAGTGGACTCATTTGATTACATAGTTCATTGCTAGAACGTGATTAAAATACATGTCCTTAAAAGCTTATAAAACTGCAAAAACTTATTTATGCATTCAGTTTGTGTTTATTTTTGCTATAAAATTATTATGATGTTAGTTATGAAAATTTGGTATTGGATGAATGGATAATCTCCTAATTGATAATTTCATTGATTCTCATTACTTTCCGACTTGATTCTGTATAGCTCTTGCAAGGAGAAATTCTGTCTTGATCACTTGTGAGAGTAAAAGGGTTAACAGTATTAGAAGCTTGTATTCTTGTTACAGTTATTTTTAACCTAGATTATTTTTAAACCCTGCTTGTACTTTGGCTAAGTCAGGTTGAGAATATTTGTATGTATACTAATTATTTCATTTTAACTTTTACAGACATCAACTACTTTCACTGTATCAGAATTGTAGAATTACTAAAGATATCAGAATCAGCAACGAAAAACATTTTTGGTGGTTATTCGTCAAAGAGGATGAAGGTTAGTACCTTGGATGCAGCATTAAACTGTGGTGACACATACATGCTACTGCTGTGACTGGATGGAATGACTCACCAATTTTTCTTTCCTTTTTTCCATCCTGAGAAACTTGAAAGTTCTGCCTCTACTTTAAAGGGCCATATATTTTTTCTGTTTTCATCCAGTTATTAAGAGGAAATGCTACAAAATACAGTTGAACCTGTGTAAAGTGGCTCCATCTTACATGGTCACCCTGGTTTAAGTGGTCAGTTTACAAAGTCAAGAATTTTTTTCCTCTTTAATTCCCATGAGTTACCAAGACTGAATTTCTCCTAGTAATTTTGAAACATTACATTAAGAAGACAAGTGATGAGAATTAAGAAAAATATGAATTAGGGAATTATCAGTTGATCCAATACCAAATTCTCCAAAACAACATCATGAGAATTGTATGGCAGACAGTAAGGAGAATTACTAATGAGATCTTGGGAGTCAAAAGATTAAGTACTGTACAGTTATTTAATCACCTCTATTATCCACCTCTCTATCAAGATGGGAAGTACATCTGCGTCTGAATTAACGGTAATGTTGCTATGTTGTCAAAATGACACAACAGACAGATTTGTAGAAGTTTTACAATGAAAGTAAAGTTTAAACATTTATTAACTTTTATATTGCATCAGGAATCAAAGGAAAGTGTAGGATGATATGAATATATTTTCTTATAACAGGACTGGCAGGAAATTGTGAAGCTATATGAAAAAAATAACATCAACCTAGGTACAGCATTTTTCAATTATTGGGCTGTTCATTTGTTGGAGCTTGATACTAACAACTGCTTAATATCTTAAACACACCTTTCACCATTTCCTCTAGTTGTTGTAAAAATGTGTTACTACAGTATTTTCTCAATCACTGAATCACAATGTATGAGTTAACTCAGACATTAGTTGGGTAATTCACCATATCTTGCTCAACCTCATCCAATAATTGCTTATTGTTTGCCAAAGACAATGTTTTACAAATGACATAAAAAATGAAAACACTCAAGTCCAAAATTGTTGGTATGGTAGAATGATTATGTGGTCATGTAATTTAATGATCTGTTCAGTTATAAAGAAGTTGATGGAGGTTTGACATTATGTTAAGCCATAATTTTATCTCATATACAGGTTATATTGGATCGATTTGGTCTTAATTCGATCACTAGCATGTAAAATGCTATTGCACAGTTTTTAGCGTAGTATTCTTTAGTTATTAGCTGGTGAAATAGCTAATTAAAAAAACAAGTGAAAAAACTAATTACTGTACCTAAATAGCCACTTACATGTAAACCTGATAAACTAATAATAGATATACTATTATACAATAACAGAGATTTCAAAAATTAGTTTCCTTTAACCCTTTAACTCCCAGGATCTGATTGTTAATTCTCCCCTCCAGCTGCTACACATTTCCTTGTAAATTAGTTGCAAGAATTTGGTGTTAGATCAAGACAACAACTTCTACCTGATACATTTAAGTTCTCTCATTGCCTTTTTGCTGGAAAGAGGATGGATATTGTAGTACGAATGTACATGTGAATCACTTCTGGGAGTTAAAGAGTTAAGATGATCAGATATTGCTGTTAGTGGCTAATTTAAAGAAGTGCAATGCTATGTAAAATCAGAAGCAGTGCAATAATAAACAATAAGAGTCAGCTACAGGATTTTGCTTCATGATTAATTGAGGGAATTGACATCATTACAAGTAGAAGATGACCTGGAAAGGCAGGATATACATTGTAAATAAACTGTCAGTAGCATATTACATGTACCTACTATCTAACAGAGGTCCTTTGAAAACTCTCTAACTTTATTGTCACAAGCTCATGGCATTTTTTTTTTCAGCTGAAGCTGCTCACCTTTTAATAAGGAATGTCAACTATGAGATCCCATCATTAAAGCGGCAAATAGGAAAGTGTCAGCAGACTCAAAGGGTAGGGTTGATTAAAAAAGAGATTAATTGATAGAATTGATTGGTTATGACAAACATTGTTATCTACTAGTGGCTAGTGCATGCATGCCCTCAAGGTACTGTTAGTACTAACACATTGACATGTACTGTGTGATTAAGGATTGCACAAGGAAGGAGAGTGAATATTCATCCAATGCAGCATTATTTAAAGAAAAGTATCAAAGTGTGTGCCGACAAATGGGTATTAAGGTATGTGTATGGAATTGTAATGATCTGTAAGTTTGCAAAGCTTACATCTACAGTAAACATGCAATGTTATCATCATAGTGGTTTTAATAGTTGCATCGAAACCATATCTTTCCTCACTAACTTGAGATCTCTCCATTGTTATGTATGATTACATCATATCAATGGGTTTTTTCAGCTTATTACCAAAAGGTCTGGATAGAAGCAGATATCTTAAGTACAAATTTAAGAAAATGAACAACGCTTTTTAAAAACATGTTTCGAGAGTTTTTCTGTCATCTTCAGTTCTGAATGATACAAAGTACAAAGTTGAAAATACATATATGCATACATTTTTCTGTCACAACTGTTTGTTTTGTCCAATCAGCATTTTGTTACACACCTTAAATTCAACTTTGTATTCTGTATTATTCAGAACTGAAGATGACAGAAGAACTGTTGAAACATGTTTTTAAAAGTGTTGTTCATTTTCTTAAATTCAATTTTCATCTTTCTTTTCAAAAATCTCCTTCAAAACTTTTTTCACACTATAAATGGGTAATATACACATACATGTACACATTTATTTACATTTATATGGAGCAACAAGATTCAATTTTATTTTCAGGGTGATGATGTGAAAACAGAATTATTGAGTCTACTGAATGAATTGCCTGAACTATACAAAGGGATTGTATCATCCATTGGCAGTTTAAAGAATGCAACTCATTATTACGAGGCATTTGTCAACTTTTTAGTTCCAAGGTGTGTTACACAACATACATCTTATTCATTGTGTAAATATATATACTGTAAACTTTTTTTCTGCAAGTCGCCTAGAACCATGTACATGTAACACATACTGTACCACTCACGTATATGTTAACTGAAAAACGTAAATTAAACGCGCCAAAAATAACATGCAATTGCGAGTAAAAAAATCATGTGCATTAAAAAATCGCATGTACGCACACGACCTTGAAATATTGGCCTCATTAGTATGTATGAGGTAGTCCTTTTGTTTTTCTATTGTTGGCGGTTTATTGTTTTAAAGAATAGGCCACAATGTACGTAGCACTAAAATACTACATGGCTACCAATGACAAGCAAACTTGTTTGTTGCAATCGCCGTTCAAACTGACCTTCCCAATATGCTGTTACCAATGCGACTTCATAATTGGAATATATAAATGATTTATCATTTTCCTACGGAATTCATTTATCAAAATAGCCATTTGACACTTTGTAGATAGATGCATCCGTTGCAATGGCCTGGAATTTGTTCAAAGTAAATTCAGTCTCAGTGTATTGTAATTCGGTAGAATCAGCTAAGGCACCTGTTTGTAACCAGTTGTCGTGTTCTGAGTGCAAACCCATGCCTGAATGCTCATTTCATAGCTTTTGTCATCAGTGAACATGCTGTTCTTGGAGAAAACTATTAATATAGTGGTAAAAATGCCTGATATAGGCATTTATATGTACTGTCCAGAAGCTTTCCTACATCTAGTTTTTGGGTGGGGGGTAAGGGGGTAAGGGGGTAGGGAGGGAGGGAGGGAGGAGGGGAGGTAGGGTGGTTGTCAGAAGGGACAGTCAATATCACCGATTTCTCTAAGTCGTAAAGATTTTTTAGCTGCATCTGCACAGGTCTTACAATAAGGCAGCTCTCTTATTGCCACCATTCTTCTATTTACTGCAAGCACATGTTTTTGTATTTTTTAGTCATCAACCCCATTCTGTCGTAGGGCTATCTTTAGTCTCACAGGGGTATTCTTTAGTAAGAAAAAAAATTTAACACTTTCAATTTCACCAGAAGTGCCTATAGGTTTTCATAAAGGAATGAAAAATGTGGGGTTAATTTCCATTAGTGAATGTTGTATCTCTTAGTTGGTAAATGAGCTTTAATTGGTCAATTTAGCAGTTGTTTATCACTGAATAACCCACTATACTCCAAAGTTTATTCCAATTGAAATCTCTCCACCTTTATTTGAACACAGAGATGTAGTCATTATCTTACTAACCTGGTTCTTGATACTTACTGTACGTTATGGAACCTTGTTTTTTTTCTGAGGGGAAAATTCTCGGCTCATAACTTTAAGTCGTGACTTCAAACTTGATTAGTTTAAGGTACTACCAGTAAGTTACTCAGCTGGAACTGTTCTTTTACAAGTAAGGGTATACTTATTATTTTTCAGTTATAACAATGAGAAAGAGAGCTCTGAGGTGACTACACCACTTGTACGACACATCCAAAAGCATGGTAACAGCACAGTTTATCAGTGGAGGACTGGCAAGATACCATCGGTATGAATGTTTCCAACGTTTTCCTGATAAAATGTATGAAGATGTGTAACAAATCTTTGTTTTGTTAATTTAAGGTTATTATTCCTGACAAAAGACCAGAGACAACAAATGTAGAAAATGAAGAAAGTGGGGATGTGAGTGATTTTGAATGTGTAATTTTTTTTATTAAAAAACCTAACATTTATTATTGGTATGACTAAGAGTGTTGACATTTGACATAAATAAGTTAAACAATTTCCTCTTATATGATGAATAAATTAGGTACATGTATGCATTACATGGACCAGGAATTACAATGTATCATGTTTTGCCTGTTACAAGTTCAATCATGAAGCAAATTAACAACATGGAGTTAAAGAAGGCATCTTAGTAAGATTTCACTCAGATAAGTCATCAACACAGCCAACAGAATTGAAACTCCAAAAGCACAAGAAGAGCAGAACAGGCAGTCAGCAACAAAAGTGGACATACATGTACGAGGGAACAACATAGACTTCTTGCAATCATAATTATGATGAAAACGCCCAAATAAGAGTGTGTCAAGATGTACCAATAGTGGCTTACTATCTTGTTTTTTAAATAAGGAGGGGGACTAATTTATCATCATGGCCTGGCAAAGACTAGCAGTTTAGCAGTTGAATAAATGTCACAGTCTACAATTAAAAGTATTTCTCTTTTGTGATTATAATGTTTAATATCATAATCCTGTATATATATATATTTTTTTTCTGTTCCTACAGATTGACTGGGGCATTGAAACTGTTACCACCACTGACACTGGGGCAGATAATATTGATTGGGGGGAGGGTGGTGAGGAAGACACAGGGGGAGTAGACTGGGGGGACAGTGGTGAGACTATTGACTGGGGTGAAACAGGGCAGGATAATCAGGACAGTGCTATTGATTGGGGAGATGACACTGGGACTGCTGACCATGAGGTGACAGTGGATAGTGGAGGAATTACATTGGAAGGATCTGGTCAAGGTCAGTAACAACGTGGTGCATTTTCATTTGCATTATTACAATTTTAGTATTATGAATAATGTGTAAATAAGCAAGTTAAGAGCAGTGACGTTATTTTTTAGATGAAGGAGGAGTGATAAGTGGTGAAGATGCCGAGACTTTAATGGATACAACTCAAACAAGAAATCTCTTAATTGACGAGCTCCTGGAGGTGAGTGTCATGTACATTTTGTTTATCCTTTTTGTTATTTAATGTTTCTTTTCTCAGCAAGATTTCTTTGCACTCTTCTTTCTACAGCTTCAGGGTTTCTTACGCCAGAGACTGATGGAGATGAAGAGTGATTCTGATGTCTTGTCAGCCAATCAGGTATCTTACACTGTGCTTGTGGTCATCAAGTTTATAATACTTATCAGAGTTTCTGTTCAAATGGATGTTACATTTTGCAAGCTCTACCCACTATCTTACAAGAGAGCTCTTAAGCTAGTGGCAAGCTAAGCAATTTGTAGTAGATGGAGGTAGTATATGTATATATATATATATCCTGGGCAAGGATTGATGCCAGTCAATGTATGTGTACATTTTAGAAATTTCTTTACGTTAAATGACTATGATGCACCCGTAGAAACGGTAGCAAAGGCGAAAGTCCTATCAAAATAAATTGTTATGGCCAGGCAGGGAATTAGAAATGGTAATATTACCAGTGATTGCAATAATATTGAACAATGAAAATCAGTTCCATTTTAAGAAATGTGTTTTGGTTGTAATTTCTATTGTTTGTGTGTCTAGTTTCAGTCGGCTCCTCAGCTAATTCAAATGCAGTCAGTGGAATCAGTCCAATCCATGGAGTCCGCTGTAACAGATGTTCTGTCGACCCTCACTTCAATGAAGATGCACAATTTGTTTTTACTTAAAACTTCTCCTCGGTAATGTTAATAACCAATCAGTCCTCAGATCTCACTTTTGATGGTCCTTATTGACTGTCATACTTTTGTCATATTAGAAGTTTAATCGAAAAACATATCCTTAGTTGCTAATTTTCTTTTTCTCATTTGCTATTTATGTGACATCGTATTAAGACTGTAACAAGAATTTATCTGTGAATTACTCCCATCTCCTATGCGATTGGTCCGAAATGTCGTGGGTTGAAGGTCAAGATCAAATTGCCGCCCTTCTCTATTTATTGCGAGCAAGCGTTTGTGTATTTTAATCAATAACTTATGGTCCTTTCTGTTTCCAGATACCTGGACCGCTTAGCTGATTCCCTTCAGCAAAAACTTAAAGTCTCAGAAAAACTGGTAACGTCCATTAAAGTGATGGCTGATAAACGACAGGCGGCCACCATAGAACAGAGAGACTTGGAACCTAAACTTGAAATTATCAGAACTAAAACAAAAGAACTACAAGAACAGGTAAGACAGCAAAGTTACTACTTTCAGTGGAATTAATCTGTTGTGTTGTGTCGGGGGGTAGGGGAAGTGCGAAGTTTGTTATCAATTTGGAAATAAAAGGCCGTACTTGTGTTGGATTTCGAAAATTTGACGTTTCAAGCAGTAGTCTGAATCTCGGTGCAAAGGACTAAAGGCTAGCGTGCAAATGGCTAACCCTTCGAAAGTCATAATTTGTTACTTGATTATTTGTTGTTTGAATCCCCGGCTTTGAACACTAAAACATTTGCTAGACAACGGCCATCATGAGCTACTTATGACACATAACGCCTTGGGAAAGTAAGAGGCCAGGTCTTATTTCAGATGACAGGAGTTAAAAAGCTTTTAGTAAAGATGCGCGTCTCGAGTATAGCCATGTCCCACACGTTTGCGTGAAGATCCTGCGTGTCGCCTGTTTTGAGATGTGTCTGAATTCTGCCTTTCTCTGAAAGAGGAATGGAAGTGAAGGAAACAGAAGTCCTGACAATATACCAACCTCTACCTGTGACAGTCTATTCTGTGTCCAATTGTCGACCTCATCTGAGTCACTTTTGGTAATACGGTAAAAAAATACCCCACCCCCCGACAAAAGCCATTATCAGACCTGATAAGCTAGTTTCATTATATATTATGTAAAATATGTATTTTGCTGCCCTATCAACCATGTCTTCGTCGTTATCCATTTTCCTTTTTCAGATTTCTCAAGAAATATCCAAGAAATACAAGAACAGGCCGGTGAATATAATGGGTGAAATAAACACTATTTAGAAACAGGTTGTTTATTTCATGTTTACTGTGTTGTCATTTCTGGTGTTTAAATTGAAGTTATATTAAATAAAACTACAGCAGTGTTAAAAAAAAAACACTCAAAATAATGTTGTCATTCATTTCGTTAAATTCGCGGTATTTATAAATAATGTATCAAAGAGAAGGAATTTTTTAGCTCTACAATAGTTGGACAAATGCCCCGTGTATTAATAGGCCATTTTACAGTTGTGTACTTAGTTGCCAAGCCTTTGATTTGGAGTGAAGCTGAAGGTGACCTTGTTGTGATAGAGACCAGTATCTAGTTAGCATGATAACAAAGTAATTTGCATTTGAAAAGCAGCAAGGTTTGTATCATAACAAGGTCTACTTTAACCTCACTCCTGTTCAAAGGCTTGGCAACCAAGCACATAACTGTAAAATGGACTATTCTTGAACAAATAAAAAGGAGAGCATATTATGATGTAGTGATTAGAGGTTTATTGTTTAAGCGTCAAACTTGTGGCAGCGTTATCTAAAGCAAGTAACATAAAGCAAGTGACATACATTGCAGGACCAACACTGAAATCGCCCCGCCCTCCCCTCCCATCCCTTTCCTTCTCACTAGCTATTGTACCCTCTTGAATATCACTAATTGCAAAGGAATTTCAGAGTTATGGCATACTTGTAAGTCGCCTAGTCTCCTACGTCCAGAGAATGGCTACAAAGGAGACTGGAAGTTAATCATCTTCTCGCTAGTTGTTGTGCCCTTTTCAAAATAGCCAATTGCAAAGGAGTTTCGATGGGACACTACAGAAGTCTCAACACTATAATCAGAGTTCTGACAAAACAAAAAAATAACAAAACAACTATTAATAGCAAAACAATTAGTTTATTTAAAATCAACTGTGGTTATCAACATGTTACCACAGAGACTTAAATTAAGATTATGAGCAAGTACTCTTCTGTCAACACTAACAAATGAGAGATCCTTTCTATAACTCCTACAAAGCAATTTTCTAAGTTTTTTTACATGAAAATTTTTAAAACATTTAATTTCTGGTCGCTATCAGGCACAAATATCTTTTCTCTGTGTGCCAATTATAGCATTCTCCTCCACTTTAATGAAAGAGCACAAGAGCCTCCTGAAAAACTATTCTAAATGACATAAAAATAACAATCTAACAACTAAATAAGATTTTGCTTGAAATTGAACGTGCCATCACCTTGGTATATATAACTGCTCTTGTACCCTGCATTATAGGAAAGGAAACAAATCTGTAATTATTCCTCCTGACCACTGAGACGATGACTGAGTCTCGTTTTAGAACGCTGCAAACTCAAACTCGGTTAACTCGAGCGTTTTTGCATGTTTTTCAGTCATCCCTATCTGTAAAATATATCCTTTGGTACC